AGTTTTCACTATTAGAAATCAAGAGGAACAAACTAGGGTTACAAATCTCTCATAAACCCTCAACAATCAACTCTCAATCTCTCCAATTGCTCCTAGAATAGAAGCCCAAAGAAAACTCTCTCAATCTGCTCAAATTCGTCCTTGCTCTTAACCCTAAAAAATACCCAAAGGGTATTTATACAAATCCAAAACGAAGCGGGTCTGAAAACAGTCCCAACTCTCGCGACCGGATACGGTCGACCGGCGATCCGCATCGCGGTCGACCGGGTCGGTCGACCGCCCTCACATCCAGCAGCAGCCCAAAAGTCCAGAGAGGTCGTCGGTCGACCGACACGGTCGACCGCCCATAGATTCGGTCGACCGATGCGGTGCGAACCGCACCAATGCCTGAAGCGCCCCAATCCTGAAGCCCAATAACTCCTGTGCACGAATGCGGTCGACCGGGCCGGTCGACCGCCACCCAATTCTGCTGAAACCCGAACTTTCTGCCAATTCTACAGTTACCTCTAAGACACCAAAAGCCTAAAACCCATCTCATCAAAAATCTCCAATACCCATGGAGAAACCAACATTGTACCCTCAACGGCGTCGTCGTTCTGAAGACAACGGTTTTTGAATCACTACAATCAAACAACTAAGCTATCAGGAATCTCACTTTTTCTCTCTCTCCCCACTTTTTCTCTATCGGGTTACTATTCACGATTTACTGTAGCATAAAAAAAAATACATGTTACTCATGAATAGAATTTCTTTATAAAGGAATTTTATTTTTATGTTCTCCAAACCTATTCTTATTACAACTAGATCCTCCAAATCACTTTCTAAATAGAATTTTAATTCATGTGTCCCACGTGTAGGTCTTATCTTAGGCTGGACCCCACAACAATCCCTCACCCCCCTCCAGTCCAATGAGAGGGTATGCTAATCTGTAACTCCTTAACGGGAGTTCATGTCGGTCAAGCGCGCAGGCCACTTGGAGGTGGTCGGTGAGTGCGCGGGCCACTTGGAGGTGGTCAGTGAGTGCACAGGCCACTTAGTGGTGGCTGATGAGTGTGCGGGCCACTTGGAGGTGTGGTGGCCGATGAGGGAGCGGACCACTTGGAAGTGGCCGATGAGGGCGCGAGCACTTGGAGGTGGCCGGTGAGGGCACGGGGCCACTTGGAGATGGCCGTGAACGCGTGGGTCATTTTGGCGGTGGTTAGGAGCTTGTCCCATCCGGGCCGGCCCGGCCCGGCCCGGCCCGGAAAACCGGGCCCGGGCCGGGCAAAACCCAAGCCCGGACCCGGTCCGGGCCGGGCCCGGGCCCGGGCCCGACCGGGCCGGACACCGGGCCGGCCCGGATTTTTTTGTTTTTTTATTTTTTTATTTTTTAAAAAATTTTAAAAAACAATAAAACATAAAAATTATATTTATATAATAGTATATATATATTTATACTCTTATATAAATATAATTATATTATATGTACATATAAGTTTATGTTTATATATATGTATAGATATATAAATATATATTTATACTCTTATATGTATTTATACTATTATATAAATATACTTATATATGTACATATAAGTTTATGTTTATATATGTGTATATATAAGTATACTTATATACTAAGAGAGAGAGAATATAAATATATATATAAGAGAGAGTATACACTGTACACATATATAAGAGAGAGCATACTTATACATATATATAATTATATAAGAGATATAAACATATATAAGAGAGAATATACTTATATTTATATATACTTATATACTAAGTAGCCCAAAGTATTCATGTCATTCAATATATGTATATGTATATATATACACACACACTGACACACATATACATATATTATACATAAACAAATTGTAAATACTTATAGTAATTACATAAACAAATTGTATTATACATAAAAACACACACACATATAAACTTATATATACACACATATATTATACATATATAAGAGAGAGTATACTTATATATACTTATACATATATTATACATATATAAGAGAGAGTATACTTATACATTATACTTATATATATATATATAATATATTATATATATATATAATATAAGAGATATATAAGATAAATAAGAGAGAGTATACTGATATATACTTATATAAGAGAGTATACACTGTATACTTATATATATACTTATACATAATATATATATATATATATATATATAATATATATATATATATATATATATATATATATATATATATATATATATATATATATATATATATATATATATATATATATATATAATATATATATATATAATATATAATATATTATATATATATATAAATATATATATATATATTATACATATATAAGAGAGAGTATACATTGTATCTTATATGTACTTATATACTTATACATATATTAACAGAGCATATTTATACAATATTATACTTATATAAGAGAGAGTATACTTATATATAATTATATACTAAGAGAGAGTATATATATATATAAATATATATATAATATATATATATATATATATAATATATAATATATATATATATTATATATATATATATATATGATGAAAAATGGAGAAACTTGGTACCAAGTTGCTCCAAACAACTTGGTAGTGATGTGGCCTAATCTTGTCCATACATCTATATGGAGTTGGAAGGGTGGTTGAGGCTCTATTCTTCGAGGTGTGATGTAGGGGCAAGATTAGGCCACATCACTACCGAAGTTGCTTTAAAGCAACTTGTGTACCAAGGTTCTCCATATTCTCTCCTCTCTCTCTCTCTCTCTATATATATATATATATATATATATTATATACACAATATATATACATATACATATATTTTATATATAAGAAAATAAAAAAAAATTAAAAAATTTAAAAAATTTTACTGTTCCGGGCCCGGACCCGGGTTTTGCCCGGGTTTCCGGGCCCGGGCCGGGCCCGGGCCGAACGCGCTGGCCACTTGGAGATGGTCGGCGAGCACGCGTTCCCTTGCTTTGCCATTTCGGTGGTGTGTTGCTACGTCATCAACGGTTCGCCGATTCGCTTCATGCGCTTGTCGACGTCAGATAATCCCCCTTAACTCGGATAATGATGTTCATCGTCAGATAAACGCGCTGGCCACTTGGAGATGGTCGGCGAGCACGCGTTCCCTTGCTTTGCCATTTCGGTGGTGTGTTGCTACGTCATCAACGGTTCGCCGATTCGCTTCATGCGCTTGTCGACGTCAGATAATCCCCCTTAACTCGGATAATGATGTTCATCGTCAGATATTCTTTTTCTCTCTCAGGTTTCTATTCACAGTTTACTGTAGTGCCGGAAAAAAATTATAGGTTCCTCATAAATAGAATTCCTTTATAAAGAAATTTTATCTTCAGGTCTTCCAAACATATTCCTATTATAACTAGATCCTCTAAATTCTCTTCTAAATAGAATTTTAATTCATGTGGACCTCGTGTGAGCCTTATCTTGGACCCACAACACTTCGAAGGTATTCTCATTGATTTTCTAGGCACGAAGACTTTTCCATTATTTTTTCTCAAGTGTGAGTTCATTAATTTCTTGGTGGAAAGTTTACAAGAGAAAATATTATGTACGTTGCCACATGGTAGGAATAATCAAAGTTCATGTGGGGAGTATTGGCGATGATTGTTTAATGTTATTTACTTTGTATAATTCCTTTCTAATTAATCTGGTTGTTATACATTTATTGTAAATAAAAATTGATCTCAATCAATTGTTTGGAGAGATATTAACCAGTTTGAGTTTGGAGAGCCAACAAAAAAGGAGCTTATATAATATAGGCGACGCAAATTAAGAGATGTTTGTGGAATTTACCCAGAAACAAACTCTGGCAAAGGTTAGAAAAGAAAGCCCAGATAAAAGAAACTGAAGAAAAGACGAGTGAACAGTGAACTTACTAATTGAGATCAGGACACATCAAATTCCAGGATTGACCTGGCCCAGCTTGCACCCTTACATATGTATTTATCCGCATGAAATTATTATGCCATGATGTGGATAAATACAGGTCAAACTTTTATCTCTTTCCAAATCATCAATTTTCCTTCTTTGTAAGCCACATGGCCCTGATAACAGCAACACTAGTGGAAAATCAACCCCCCACAACCCCGCCCCAAACAAAAAATAAATAAATATAAAAAATGCGCACACACACACACACATTAATTTCATAGAGATTGCTATTAGGTCCCTCAGAGCCTTATTATTTCAAATCAGTCCCTCTCTTAGATAATTCTATATGAATTGCTTACGCAGCTTATGTTAGTTTTTAACCACACATGATAAATTATATTTCTACCCTCAATTACTTAATATAAAGAAATCAACAAACCTTTACACAGGTCTAAAAAAATTCAAATCAGTCTAAAAAATTTCGTTTTGGAGTAACTAAACACAAGGATACATCTGAAAATCCGTAAAGAATTTGGAGCTAAGTGGAACATATACATTTCTCTCAAATTAAACGGTAGCTAACTAGGTCGGCTAAAAATTGGAAACAGCTCGCTCAGAGTTGGGGACCTAATTAGCAATTTCAATAATACGAGGGGCTAGTTTCAAAATATAAAAAGATGCAACGGACCAAACAGCCACGGGGGTCCATTCTCCCAAACCGAGTGGACAGAGAAAGAAAAGAAAACCAACAGCTGGTTGAAGCTAACTTTGATAATAATAAAAGTAGCAAAGAACCCGAAGCAGCTCAGAAATCGTGCCCGAGGTGGGTCCCAGCCGAAGGGGCCCCACGGCACGCGCTCCCTCCCGCGCACTGCCCCCTTCGACGACCCAACGAAAACTTATATATACAGCCTCTCAGCTTCCCCATAAAAACATCGAACAAATTAAGACCACCAATCTTTCCCCCCTCTAAGATCTCAAGCTTAATTGATATCAAAGACGCCGATCCTCGTCGGAAGATCGAGAATGGTCTGTATGGTCGCCAGACGAGGGCG